ACTGGCGGGCGGATCTGTTCTCCGCTCGCAGCAGCGCGCTCTTCGTCTCCAGCAGAGCTCATCCCGATGTGGCTTCCCTCGAGGGGCAAAACTCTAGAGTGTTTGCGGCCTACGCCACTTATTTATCGGGTGAGACTGTTTTGGTGATGTATTAACTTCACGGGAGGTAGACGACCGTCCTTCACACGGACGAAAGAGGGAGTGCTCAAAGAGCGGCTCCCACAGCAAGGAGGGGCCCCGTGAATCATCGCGGTGCCCCCTATCAAACGGTTATCTTACCAGTCTGCGTGACACTAAATCATCCAGCACATGTATCCAACAGCAATGTTCGCAGACTCACGAACAGGAGGAAGACAAAAACTGTGCGATCCACTATCTTGGTACGTCCAAATGCCACCCAGGCTTTCGCGCTGCCCTTGTTCAGCTCCCCGCCCAAAGCCAACTCAATCACGCAGAGGCCACCGAAGCTTCAACAGGGTGATCGAAGCTTTCTTACACTTTAAGTGTCACTCACTACGGCTGCCGTCACACGCTATGCTGCAAAACGACGGCAAACTGCAATCTAACCCAACGACCGTAGTCATGGCCGATCACATTTTCAAAATTCGACACTTTGCTACTCGCCACTGGCTCCTGGCATGCTTGCTTGTTGCTGTCTTTGCCAAAGTACGACGCCATCGTATCGAAAGTCGCCCCCGAAGACATCCAGAGCGCTGCCTATGGATAGATTTACCCGACCACGCCCAAGCTCTTGCACCTGACGAAGGCAGACAGCGACAACGATTAGGGTACTTCGACAACTCCTCGGGCAATCCCGAACCGCACGACCAATGCGGAAGCTCCACGGTTCCATTCGCGATGTAAACGCACAAAACACACTATCTCACGCGACGAGAGAATCGTCGCCGTTTGTATGGAAACAGAGGAAAAAGCGCTTGTGTGGGTGGGAAAAATGCACAGAGCATCTCCAGCACGCGATCTCCAAGGGAGAAACAACACCACGCTGGGAAAAAGTAGAAGATGAGAAAAAAAAGTTAGCGTTTCAACCTGCAGCTGTGAATTCACAGGCTGGGCCTCGACAGTTCGACTCATTCTACAACCGCAACGAGTTTGTTTCGCCGGAGGAGTACGATCTCTAACAATAGAATGACGTTCAGACGGAGTGTCGACCACAAATGGGGCACGTGATACAAATGACAGCAAGTTGCTACTACCGACTACTGCATCAGTGCGAATGTCCAAGGCGGCAAGGGGTGACAACCACACTGCAGAAATTGGAACAACTGGACATCAGTCAACAGCAGAAAATTCTTCATCAAAATGTCTCACCCTATCGAGGTCCTTCAGGGAACTAGCCCCTCCAGCGTAGGTGACCATTCTTGGGCTGAAGTCGCCGAGCGAAGGTACTAAGTCTTCCAGCACGGCACAATTCTTGCCCTGTCATGTATCGACGAGATTTGGCAACAAAACAAAAATGAAACAACTCAACACCTAGAACAAGTTCACCTGGGGAGGATGCCTGCAGCATGTTTTACGTTGCGCTGGTCCAAGATAATGGCTTCATGCCAGGGCGTTAAGGTCAACGAAGTAAGTAGTAGAGGCGACAGTCATGCTGATCGATAATTCGGGTGGCTCAGTTGTGTGTGATGGGAGTGTAGAGCAGCTCAGCCATGACGGGCCGTAGGGGTAGTCGTACAGACGTGTGGAAAAACGTGTTGGAAAACGTGTTGGAAAACGTGTTGTACAACGTGTTGAATTCATGGGGGGCGTGCTTGAGCTCGTCATTCCATCACGGCATCGAGTCACGCATAACGCTTAAACACCCAAAACGAATCTCCATGAATGTCCACCAATCTACCACACTCCCAAGGAAAACATGAAGAAACTTCTTGTTCCTCCGTAGTTCGTCACTGCAAATCCCGCATATGTATACGCAATATACCACCCCCATGCTATGCTACGAGTATATCGAATAGCCCCCCTGCTCGTATGCATCGTCATGCTCCGGCAAAATATCAAAGTCATCCTTCTCATACCAGTTCATCCCAAAACACAATCAAAACCAAGACAAAATTCAAAACCCCAACACCTAAACAATACGTCCAAAAATAATCAATCGCATACGAACTCTTCCAAATCAACAAGAAAAGTCCCAAACACTAACTCTCCAAAACACTACCATCTCCACTTGACTCTCTCCATCTCTTGTTCAAACCCGTACATATCCTCTCTCTTCCACTCCGCGGCAAAACACGATTTGATCCCAAAACACATATTTCACAGCAAATTCATCACGAAGTCTCTGTGCAACGCAAAAGATTCCTTGCTGATAGCCTTCGTCAAGGAATCTACATGCTGAAACTCCGACGTCACATGCGTAATCGAAATCTCCTTCCGCTCTACCAGTTCCCTGATAAAGTGATGCCGTACATCGATGTGCTTCGAGTTTGAGTTCGTGATCGGGTTGTGCGCAATCTGAATTCTCTGATTATTATCCTCGAAGACCGGAATGCACGGCATACCTGCATCTGGCAACATAAAACGCCAAACCTGCCTCAAGAAAAGCACTTCCTTCAAGACGTCGGCAATTGCCACATACTCTGCTTCCGTTGTGGAGAGCGTGACACACTTCTGCGTCCTCGAAAACCAAGTTACACACCCACCCCCACACATCACTAGTCCTCCTGAGACCGACCTACGGTCTGCTGCCTTGCTTGCATAGTCGGCATCCACAAACACCTGCATGCTCATGCCAGTGACCACTCCCCTCTCAAATGTAATCCCCATCCAACTCGTCCT